AAAAAAAAAAAATAAGTTTCACAACAACCCGCCATTATCCAACAAAAGACCATCACTTAATAAATTTTGAGCTACACCACACGGCTGCACATACCCTAATCGCACGCTTACATCAACAATCGAAGCGTAAATTTTTCCCTCCCCAAGTGCGCATATAGTAGCAACAACCGCCAGTCCAGGCTCTCTTGCGATACAACTCCGCACCGCCAGCACACGCGTGTACAGGTAGTGCCGCCGATATCATCGACGTGTTTATGAAGCGTCCGAGCGGCTATCTTACGTACAGCGGCGCGCGAGCCGCAAATTCTTTTGGGGGGTGGGCTCTGGTGTACGCGGGGGAGGAGGGCACGTGAAATTTCACGCCTGAACCGACGATTGACAGCGGCTTGTCCACGCTATCTCCCCTCGTATATACACACGCGTGCGAACGTATAAATATACGCGTAGATGCAGCCAAGGAGGGTGCATTCCTTGGCGGGAGGAAGACAAGGGCCATTCTTGTCGTGGTTGCTGTTGCGAGGAGCTTTCTCGCTGGGCTTGGGGATCATCGGGAGGTTCTCGGTGCAAGGGCTTTTATTTAGCATATTCCAAAGCACATTGAACAAAAAAAAAAAAAAAAAAAATCGTTAAAACGCATAAGGTGGACCTATTTTTTTTTCTCTTTTCGATCGGAGCGCGATGGTGATGCGTAATCGTATACAAATTATCTGTACGTCGCATCTGTCTCTCGTACCATTCGTTTGACTCTCTATCGGGCTATAAGTGCGTCATTCGGCAAATTCATTCGAACTATCGTTAATAAATTTTATCGCTATAACTACGGGTCTGTAATACGTACTCGCGTATTATAGGCTATCGCGTTAATGAGATGTAAACTTGAATTTCTCTCGGCATCTGGCAAAGTATGAAAAATAATTTGATCAGACGGTTTATTTTATTTCTTCGGCAACTCATTTACAGCTTTAAGATATGCATCTTGGTGTGCATAATGTTTATACTTATGTGGAAAAAATTCAAAGAGAAGCGCATACGTGTAGATCAAGATTACGCAACGAATAAGAAAGAAAAGAAAAATGGATCAAAAAGGCCCCCAACGAGTGTGTAATATCATCGCGGATACATCGATGTTAAAATAACCGAGGGATTACACTTTGTAAAGTTTGCCCGGCGAAATTGATCAATTCGCGTGTGATACATTATGCACATGCGCATCAGCATGCAAATTTACGCACTCAATCCCCACTCGAGCTTTCATAACGAGCTGTACACGTTCAATCTACACAAAATCTCCAGTTGCAGCCCCCAAACGTTTTTTTTAAATTGCAGATGATCTTTGGGAGTTTCACGTTTACGATTTTTTCCCAAAGACTTGGATGTGCAAGGTGGAGGTCTACCTGTAAAAAAAAGATCTTAGAATCTCGACGCTGATTATCCCACACCGTAATTTTCCCGTGGAATGTTTCGTGTACATTTCCCGTGGAAGAAGTAAAGCTTGTAAAAAAGCTATAACGACTGTATGAAAATGCACACACGGACAGGCACACGAGACGAGGAGGAAAAGCGAAAAACAGGAGAAAATCGGCTTGAGAAATCGATCGGATCGAAGGCACCGCCGGGGCGAAATAATCACTTTATTACGCAAGCGACGATAATCGGGGGCGCGCGCGCGCGACATATCAATTCTACCGTCGTCCTCCACGTCCTACAGTCGTCGAGGCGATCGCTCGTTCTCGATAATGCTATACACACACACACACACACACACACACACAAGATCCTCGATGGGTCTCGTGTTCCTGCAAATTGCAGAAAAGATGGCATCGCTCGATATACTATATACATTTGTTTACGTGTATATGCTGCGGTACAACTTGCAAGTTATCTCATCGAGGAAAAGAAGCTTTAAAATAACGAGACCACAAGAGTAAAAGTATGGGTAATGTACACTTGTCAAGTAAACATGAGCCACGTATATATATATTATCTTGGCAGCCTTGATGAACCAGATGAACCAGCTAATCGACAGCCCGCACTGAATCTCTGAAACCCAGCCAAGTCGATCCGACGTCTACAAGAGAGAGGGAGAATATAAGAAGAGGAGCACGGATGGAGAAAAAAAAAAGGAGGAGGAGGAAAGAAAACAGAACACGCATCCCGAGAATGACACACACGCCTGCCAGTGAGCCTTGGGAGTCGGACGGAAAAAAAAGAGGAAGAAGAAGAACTAAGCCGTCCGTCGCGGGTGCGAAGAATTAGTCAGAGAAGTCCATCGATCACGAAGCCCCTATACCACCGTCGTGCATCAGCGCCGATAGGGAGTAGTGTACTCCCTCCCGCATGGCACACATACATGCAACACGTGGTCGCTGGGCCCTTCGACCGCAATCAACCTTATGTAACTCTTTCTCTCTCTGTCTCTCTTGATCTTCTCCTCCTCCTCTTTAACTTCCTTCAACGTGAAGGCGGGCAGGAGGAGAGAGCGGCTTGTTTACCATGAGATAGAAGTAGGTACAATGCGCGCGTCCGAAAGCATCCGTTCGAAAGATACATAATGTACATATATAGGATACTCTCTGACCTTCGCGGAGCCACTGGGTATACGTTACCGATCAGACGCGCCGCTTCTCTTTACGTAATTCTAGTTATACCTTACGCCCGACTAAGAGATTTATCATTCGACCCGCAAGGAATTGAAGGCGTATACGTCGTTATTACAAATTCTCTGATCTTGAAATTTAGGAATAGTCGGACGAGGCATGGAAATCGTTTAACGGGGCCATTGAATTTGAAATTATTCAATCGAGTCTTTGCTACTAGGTAATATAAATCTCTTTACCTTATTTCGAGCTCCTATTGGAGGAGTACAAATGTGTCTACAACACTACCATCACAACTATTTTGTTTCAAGCCAAACATGTACACATAAATGGATAAATTTAAAGAAAAAACTAAATTGTAATACCACACGATAAACCTGATGTAACATCCCGTGCTCGCAACAACATTATGCGCTCCGCGAGTTTTTCATTGAAATTATACCTCCGTGGATTGCAAGGGATCCTCGTACTACTACACTGGCCGATAGTTGGATTCTGTTCTAGAAAAAAAAAAAGGACAAATGGTAATAACAAAACACACAGCCTCCCCCCTTACTATCCTTTTTTTTTTTTTTCCTTACCCGTGCGCATCGAGCACATCTTCGTGGCTGACTATTTTTTTCCCCCTTTTTCCCTTCCCCCTCCTCGCAATGTTCTTTGACTGACGATGATAATTTTGCAAGGCTCTGCAACACGTATACACATTGTTCATGTACATATGCACATGGACACACACAAACAACAAAGAGTTTAACGATCCGCTGCGCAAGTTTCAAGTCACGACGCCCAAGCTATATGCTGTTTTGTTACCGATCTCCCTCGCTGTGGTCATCGCATTGTGAAATTTCACATGGGCATAGACACCAGAGCGTACGAGGGTATTGTTTGGTTATTCTCTCTCTTTTTCTTTTCTCTTTGTTTTGTTCGTCTCGACCAAGACATCGCGAATTAGAGAGAAAAGAGCAGATTGATTGATTACATTAACATGCGTTGGGGTCAGGGGGGGGGGCGTATAATCGGATGTAAAAATCGATCGATCACTCGTGAAGCCCGAGCTGCGCGTGTCCCGTATACAGAATATGCATTATCTCCCGACGGGGTCTTGCGAAACGATACAGCGTGTGCTCGAAATCTCCGGCGAATCGACGAAAAATAATTTATAATTTATGCAACCCGAGGCTGGTGGGCCAATATAACGTGTAATGGCGGAAAATAAATTTTGTCAAAAATGAGAACGCGGAGGTATAAGGTGGGTAGTTATATATGCTTGAAACGCATGCTTGCCGAGTATGCCGTTTCGCGCGTCTAACCGCAGTTACGCAAAAGATATTGCTGGTGATAACGGACTCTGTCGGGCAAAAGGGGGGAGGAGCAATAAACAAATTTGGCGGGCGATCTGTGGGAAATAAAAAAATACCTCAAACATGCACGGGTTAGGAACGTTTGGGTCTTACGTAACGACTACGTATACCACTACTGTATAATATGTACCTCTTACGCACAAAGTGAAATGTATACCTGTAGATAGTACTGGGAGAGTATAAACAAGATAAAAAAATCGAGAGATGACGCACGCCTCGTTTCGTTATCTTGTACGTTGGTCCGTGAATCAAATGATTCGAGGTGATGTGTTTTTTTTATTCTCCAACTTTTTGCTGGAGAATCGCTGATTTATCGATTGTCTCGTGAATCACAAACACATATATGTATATTTCCTTCGGTTTTAGTGTTGTTACATTTAAGACATTTACGGTATCAGTAGGAATTTCTATAAATACGCAACATAGCTTCCAATAAAAGATTCAACAAGAGTCGAGTTCGATAGAGTCAAAAATACAAGCATCTGCTCTTATCCAGTAGGTAGATAAATATAAATTGGGCATATCGCGCGCTTGGACGCAACAGAGACACTTTTGTGTACTTATACCAACTGCTAAAGTTAGAAATAACAATGTTAAGTCAGGCGTCGTACGTTATACGAGTTTCTGTGAAATTAAGTTTCCAAAATAATTTAAAATAAAATTTCCAAATAAAGAAATGATTACTCTGAATAAATATTAATAAAAATCTCAACGTATAATATTGGAGGATAAAGAATTTCCGTTTTCCTTTTAAAATATCGAAGTTGTTTTATTATTATTATATAAATCTCGGCTTTCATGCCAGCAGAACCTCGAGTGGAACTGTGAAAAGATGCCCTAATATTTTTCACAACGTCCGACAGAGACATTTCAATTTCTCATGTACACGTAAATCAAGTACTTTTTGAACACGAGTACAAAGGTATCGTATATTTTTTTGTTGAAATTGAAAAAAAAATGTAGTATGCAAATATTGTTTTCCACAGACCCGTTCATTCATGACGTACGTACTTCAGAGTATGAAACACAAGACCCGAGAGATAACGCAGCTTTCAAGGTAGCAGCGCACAGTATACCTATACATACACGATAACAAGCCCCCGAGAGTGAAAAAGAGCCCCAAAAAGAAATGAGCACCTGATTTCCCTCCCTCTCCCTACGGACGAAAAAAAAAGACAAAAATTTACAACCGCGCATATCCAAAGTACCCGGTCGCTTCGGCTTATCCCTGCGCCGGTAGCGTCACGAGCGTTACACGGCAAAACAGCGTCCAGTGCAAAAGGAGAGGAAAAAAATCAACGATAAACAACAACAACGCCCCGGAGAGATGAGAAAACTAATTGCACCGCGAGAAGAGAGAGCACATCGCGTAATCAAGGCTATACCCATCCTGCACATACTATATATATACGTGATGGTTACACCGAGAGAGCCGGTACATTTAACGCGCGCGTGACTCACTGTCATCATTCTCATTATCGCCCCCGTGTACAACCGTGTGTCTTCTCTCCCTCGTTGACTTGCACATACATGGCGTGCGCACACGTGCATGAGCAATAAGTGAGAGGGTACATGCATTACTTTGCACGTGGTACACAACAACCGTGGTTGTATAGTATAGGTACCTACGAAGCTTTTCTTTTATTTCGGGGAGTATAGAGCTCGATGGCTATGTGTATAGCCCGGGGAGTGGATGAGTCATGTTATCGACGGGAATTAGAAGGCATTTTCCTCAGTCCCGGTGATTTTTTTTTCCCCTTTATCTCTTCCAGCGCGGAGGTGTTATTGGATGGGTTTTTTTTCTCGCCTCGAGAGAGATGCTGCGAGGAGCTGCGTTTTTGTGCGATGGAGCTCCTTGTTTCCTTTGGAACATTTTTTTATTCGTTCATTGATTTTCCAAAGGTAAGTATTACTGTTAACTTTCTCCTCACGTGCCTAAACAACGATGTAAATTCGTGCTAATCAGAGAAAACACGCTTCAATATATCAATAAGAATTAAACAGAAATCTTGTTGAGATTTTTTTTCCAATAAATACACTTTGCCATTCAAAATCTATGCTGTATAATCATCAATCATACTTCACGATTTCTTCATAAGAACATCCCGAATCATAATGTGTTAACTCGCTTTGTAAAATAAAAAGGCTCAAGTCATGTGACAATCAATCTTTCGCGAAAGTATTATCACCAACTGGTGCGATAATACCTCGTTTTAATATAGCTCGGAATCGTGTGACGTGATTTTATGCCCAACAAAGAGATTGACTCACGTCAAGTTGACAATGAAACGCTGAAAGAAAAAAAATCATCCTCGTCAGCCTACCTTTTTCTGTATTTAATATTGTATTTTTATCGTTAAGCACGAGGTTCACACGTATCAGATATCATGTAACACGTCATTATAAAAAAAAATCTTATGCTTTAATACATATAAAGATACATGTGCAATCAGACCAAGGAGCTTGTTCAATTGTTTGAGCTGATGGAAAAACATAAATCAGAGCTTTTTTTTGTAGCTAAAAAATTAAAATTTGTAATAATTAATCTTATTTATTGGGGTGTAAAAACAAGTAGGTACCACAAGTGGTGTATAGCATTTAAGTCTTGAAGTAAAAATTTGTAAACTCGTTTTTACCAATGTTCTTACACACAAAGTAAAAATTAGATCCATGTTTCGCTGCTCTGACAACCGAGCAAGTCCATGTACTTATTTTATAATGTAAAGTATAACACGATATTTTGGCGAAAACTATTGTCCCTGTAGAAAGCCAGAGACGTATATTATAAGTAAGCAATAATAACAATACAGCAAAAACAAAGAGGCCAAAGACAGATCACGCGCATAAAGGAAATAACGAGAAACTAATACACGAACGCTTATTCCAGGACTCGCGTTACGTAATTACAGAAACTTTTGACAAAGTTATACGGTGTGCCTATGCGACACGTATAAGTAATACGTATAAACACGAACGCTGTAGAGTACACCGTAGCGGGTGACAAAAAGTTCGCGAGGAAGTCATCAATCCCGCGAGGCTTTCTCTCTTCGCTTAGATACATACATACTGAGACAATAAAGCACACATCCCACTGCACCAAAGTGCACGATGTAGCCCAGTTATGTGTATGCGGTGCCATAATGATGCATCCACGCACGGGCGAGTAATGATTCACAGCCGATCTTTGGCAAGTATAACTTATACATCGACAGGAGGAAGCATATACAATGCATCTCGAGTGCCGAACAATATTCCCAGGAAAATCGCCAACTTGGCGCGTCCCACGCAATTTCAACGTATACGTATAGGTGCACCCCATTCATAACTATATGTATATATCGCACGGAGCGAAACGACGGGTCCATCGCCGACGCAGAATCACAGAGCACTTCGCGCCTTCTCCTCCAAGTGGCGGATGATTTTCCCGATGCACATAAGTACGTGTCCGTTGGGTGTATTTGCGTGCGGAAAAACAAAAGCAGATACGCGAGGGGAGGGAGCGCTTCTATTTCCGAGCGGGTCCCGACATGTAACGGAACAGTGCAGTATACCTACATGCAAGTGTGTGCTCATAAGTATGGTGGGTAAGTGCGCCAGAGAGGAAATAGCGGAGGCGTCGAGATATATATCTGATGTGTATGTACACTGTGTTGTTGAACAGCCGATGGTGGCTGCCGTTGCCGCGCGCAACGCGTATACATTATCACGTGCAGGTATAGAGCCCCTCTTTTGCCGTATATTGCTCCGCGGCTTTTCTACCGCGTCTACTTTTTCGGATTTTTCGAGTTGCTCGTGTACACTTTGAGTTTGGCATTCATTGCAAATTAGGTGGATTGTCATGGACACGAGGGTAATTATTTATACGGATGTGCTGTTTACGCTCAATTCTGAGATACGTATGCGCACACGAGTGTATATACATGTAGAGACGGAGAAGTGGTTTTTTCGCTGAGATATCAGAGGCCAATATTTTATGAGCTATCGACAAATGAATCATGAGATGATGGAAACTCACTTTTATGATGTACGTACAA